TTTTAATGCGGCTTTCAATAGCAGCCTATCGGCCTAATTTTGCGGGATCGGAACATAACAGTCATTTTTTGCTTTTACTGGGTCGATCATTATTGGTTCGATAAATATTGATAAATATTGTGCATTCCTGATTTCAAATTCATCATCCAGCATTACCGAGAGAAATAAAGGATTTCATTTTGAAAAAAAAAAGCACCGGAAGTGTGCATGTATTTTTACATGCAGCACAGACTCTGTAACTTCCTCGAACAACCCAAGTGATTCTTGAAGTGCAAACTGCGAATAGCTGGATACATTGTAAATCACGAAAAAGCTAATGTTTCTTTTTCAGTCCTTCGCTGCCTTTGTGGCATCCAAGCAGGAAGCAAGTCTCGAGGTGGTGGGCAGTCCATCCTGGTGCTGCTGTGGCTGTGTGGTTGCTGAGCAAGCTGCTATTCACCAACACGTCGCCAGACTGCATGGCAGTGAAATTCAACAGCTGGCACGAGCCCAGTACAATCACTCGCTTAACAAAGGCCAAGAAGAAAAAGACAACGCCAAACCACACAATGAAAGCTCGTCCATGGAGGTCACTGCGTGGATGCCAGACATAAGTCACATTCCCGAGGAGCAGCTCGAGAAGTAGCCACATTTTCAGTTATTTTATCAGCAACTTATGTCTGAATTTAATTCCATGCTTTTTCTTCTGTTCAGAGGCCCCGGCAAAGTTCTGCTTTACTATCGCTACTGCCACGTGGAGGAGCCGCATATTGTCTGCGCTTGGCAGAGAGCTTTATGCCAGCGCCTGCATCTAACTGGCAAGGTACGCAGCTATCCTGACTAAAAGGTAAATGCAATGGTGGGAAGCTGAAGTGGATTTTCAGGTATCAATATTTTACTTGAGGATATTTATTTTATTATTATTATATTATTATTTACATTTTGTCAAGTTACTAAAATTTGTGTTGTGTAAAATCAACGGTAAAAATTGATTATTGCGTATCGTGGTGTCTTGAGATATGAGTGACTCGATTTATTCGCATTTTGAGATATGCGCTGTTGTTCGGACAATTTTCTTGCTTTGACTTGTGAGCGCAGACTTCAGGTACAAGTGCTCTCGAGTGGCAATGAACTCTACTTGAACCACTTAATCATAAGCTGCCCTGAAGCAATGCATTGAACACAAACGGTGCAGCAAAACACATACAAAGACAGACAAAATAACATTACTCACAGTCATATGGTCTTTATCCTCTGCGAAGAACGACAAATAGTAATGCCGTTGATGAGCTGATACTTACTTATCAATAAACATTGTATCTGTCTGTCTGTCTGTCTACTTTCCCTGGTGGCTATTGCGGGCACACCAGTTCTGATGTATGAGCATAGTCACGGAATTAATTAAACTGAATTAATCTCATGGCACCACTGTACTTAAGTACCTATCAGAGTCGATACTTTTTTATGCTTACCGAGGTAAATGAGTTAAATTAGTCCTTCTTCGAATAGTGTTTTTTTTCTTCAAGTTTATGAACTTTTATTTAAGTCTAGCATGCAAGTTGTTTTCCATCTCTGCTGAAATATTCCCTCGAACCGAACGAATGTTGTTCTTTAGGTGAGGGTGGCCACAGAGGGCATCAACGGAACAGTGGGGGGCACCTGTGTCGCCACTGAGGTTTATGTGGACGCAATGTGCTCGCATCCTCTTTTCCAGATGGAAAAAGAGGATTTTAAGGTATGGTATTAAGCCAAAAACAACATCAAACATACACACATGGTCTGTTATGCTGTCCTGTCTGCTGCCTAAATGGAAATCAGCTGTCTGGAAGTTGATACCGCATGAAATCCTTAACTGAATCGAAAGTTAATTGTGAAAAGTTCATCGAATCGAATCTGTTTCTATTTTGGAAATCCGAAACAGTACCCCAAATTGCTCTAAAATTTCTCTCTATAGGATGAAAATTGACCAAGTACTTCTTTGGTTAATGAACTACCTTCTCTGTGTGTGTGCGTGTGTTTCCCCGTGATCAGACAAGTGATGGCGGTCCTGAGTGTTTCACCGAGCTGAAGGTGGGTGTCTTTGAGGAAATCGTCCCGATCGGATTAGACCCTGACGTCCTCTCCTACCACCTGGCAGGTACCGCTAATGTGATGCCAGGTTGACCTCCGCTCTAAAGTGAGCTATTTATTTTCTTCTGTTTTTATTTGTAATTATGGAGTGTCACGAGTCTGCATGGGCCAGTTTGTTGGTTTACTGTGGTTTTAAAAAGTCAAGATTTCATTTACAGCTAAAATTGTCAGACATGGAAATTGTATTTTCTTTTTTGAGGGGACTCCAAAGCAGACAATGTCCCATTATGATTGGCTGCTTGCAAAGACTACTAAACAAGCCATCTCTTTTCAGTTAATTGTGAGAGGCTTTTCACTTTTTTTTTCTCCTCACCAATTTAATATGGCATATATCTCAGGGCACCAAATATTCAATTTTTCTGTTTAAAAATAAAATAGCTTAATGTTCAGGAGAAAAATGCAATTATTCACCCAAATATTTTATAAAAGGAGATTTTAGGGCTGAAATTTTAGTACCGGTCCATGATACCGCGGTATTTTTTTCACAGTTATTATACTGTCAAAATCTAATCTCGACCTTTGCCTTGTCGTCAGTGAACTGACGAGGTTGTCATCCAACTGTTGTTCTACCATTGGGCCGCATCAGCTCTGATTCAGTTCCACATAATACATTCAGATCTGATTCAGCTTTAAATTTAAATTTAAATATTTTTGAAATATTGTTAATTGATTTACTATACTACAAATTATTTTATAATTTTTATGATTATGATCCACATTATAATTTTCGCTGATTTTTATATCATCGTTTTAGCATGGTCAGGCACTTCAAAACTCATCAAGCAGGGTTATTTGTTATATTGGTGTTGGATTTATTTATTCAAATGTGCTTTCTTAGTTTTTAAATAGATTTTTTTTATATTTCTCCTATTAATGTTCATGTATTTCTTTGCTATATCTAGTCAAAAGCATGTACGGTAGTTAAAAATGTCAAAAAGATTACATTTTACATTTATTGTATACTAATCAAATGTTTTCAACTTTTCAATGTATTTTTCTTTTAGATTACGTATTGTATATATTATTTATTATTCAAATGTAAAAATTTTTTTGTCATTTATTATATTGAGAGTTTTTAAAGGATAGATGGATGGATATGCACTTCAAAACTCATCAAGCAGGGTTATTTGTTATATTGGTGTTAGATTTATTTATTCAAACGTGCTTTCTTTGTTTTTAAATAATTTTTTTTTATATTTCTCCTATTAATGTTCATGTATTTCTTTGCTATATCTAGTCAAAAGCATGTACGGTAGTTAAAAAGGTAAAAAAGATTACATTTTACTTTTATTGTATACTAATCAAATGTTTTCAACTTTTCAATGTATTTTTCTTTTAGATTACGTATTGTGTATATTATTTATTATTCAAATGTAATTTTTTTTCGTCATTTATTATATTGAGAGTTTTGAAAGGATAGATGGATGGATAATTTATATGTATTATTTTAAATGTTTCTGTGAAAGTCATCAAACAAGTTCTTTGTTGTGCATATGTAGCATAATAGTGGCTCATAGGGACTAAACTTTGTTCCAAGGGAGCAACAAAAAAAAAAAAAACGTTCTTTTTAAGATTTTTGTATCCCATATGCAGAACGTGTGCAAAGAAGTTTACCAGCTGAAAGGTGGAATCCACAAATACTTGGAACGCTTCCCTGATGGCTTTTACCGCGGGAAGCTCTTTGTTTTCGACGAACGCTATGCCATCTCCTCCAATGACGACGTCATCGCTGGTGAGACCCCCGCCCCCCATGCTTCTGTTGCACTTTAGGCCTTTTAACGTGAATCGGTCTTTAGGTTGCAGGTACTGCGGACGCCCCTGGGATCGCTACCAGCTGTGCACTACGCGCTTCTGCTGCCAGCTGGTGCTGTCCTGTCCCACTTGTCGCTCTGAGGGGCACACTGCCTGCTGCCCCGGCTGCCTCACTGGCAGCACGGGGCGCAAAGAGGGGTGCGAGTGTACCGAAGGACGTCCCAGGATCCCTCAGGATGTGAATAATGATGGCAAGCCACTTCATTAGGTACACTAGGTTAAAGACAACACTTTTGGCACGTTTTTTTTTTTTTTTGCCCTCTTCTACAGCCACATGAGGTGACCAGGGTATTTGGAATAAGTCTCGTGTGATGCAGTACACTGCAAACCACAACAACAAATGCATTGTTACAGTCCATACAGGGTGCAAAAACTTCATTACTGTGTTTAAGTTGATATTTCAGGTATCTGTACTTGGCTTGAATATTTATTTTGCGGACAACTTTTCGCTTTTACTCTACTTTTAAAAACAGATATCTATACTCTCTACTTCTTACTTTATCAAAATTGTCTGATAATTTTTAATTTCTGCCGATAATAATACAATGCAAGTAAAGGGTTAAAGGCAACCGCATGATGCAACAGATTCAGAGAAGCAAAATATTCCCCATTCATGGCCATATTGAAATAGCTGTTTTTGAAACGCCTCAGGTTCAACCACAACACAATATGAGGCATTTATGACGAAGTGGAATCGCAGACACAAGAGGCGAGACACTATTCAGGTATAGAGAGAGAAAACGTGAAGCTTTAGGTAGGTTTTAGTTGCTTTTGCTGTTGCTGTTCGAGTTGTTCATGAACACGGTTGTGAAATAAGTAATGAAATAAATGCATGCTTTAACCAATTGCTGCATGACTTCATGTGGGAGTGTAAATACATGTATAATAAAGATAATCTCACAGGGGCAGAAAAATGCATACCAGTAGATTTATTCAAGGAACGTTTGATTATTTAAAGTGGATTATGCACGCTCGGTTCCACTAAATTAAATTGCACAATTGTGATGAAACTGTAATGAAGAAATAAGAAAATATACACTTGAAAAGATGGATTAAAAAAATTCGATAAAATACCGGTATATCAAATTTATAATCAATCTAATTTGATGTTACTGTTTAATATTTTAAAATATTAGTATTAAGTACAGTATTGACAATAATTGTGATATTTTTTTAAATTTAATATTCACTGGCAATTTTAATTTCAGTCATCGAGTATTATAGAGCAGCAAGTGTTACTGATACCACTTTGAAATTTATCCAGTTGGGATCTCAAAAGAAATCGAACATCGGCCCAAAGAATGATTTTTTTGTTTGTTTGTTTGTTTGTTTTTTTGTACTTTTACTTTTACTCAATTAATACTTCTATTTAAGTACAGAGGAAAACTACAGAAGCAGAGCATTTTTTAAATCTTTGCAAGACAATATTACCTTACAGTTGAGTGGGCATGTGTACCGAATGAAGTGGACTGTGAGCCTTACATGGCTGGAAAAGGGCTTTTAGTTGAAAATGTTTGTTCTCTTTGGTGTATTTTACCAATAATGATTAATTTTGGATGAAAAATTGGGCTTTTCTTTTCAGGTTAAATGTATCTCTGGGTGCTTAGTACACTTTGTAAGAGTGAAAATAAATAAATAAAAGCTGGTGAATGCTGATTCACTATTCAATGTTTGTCCTGTTTCAAAGCCTGTTTGGTATGAGGAGAAATAAAGCAAAAATCCCAGGTAGGTGGGGGGGAAAAAGAAGAGAATAACTACTTTTGATTAATGTCATTGTCATGTGCTTTTTATGTAACCGGGTAAAATCTATTGGAAGTGGATTCTTGCGAGAAAAACAATTTATTGTGCAGACATTTTTAAGAGGTATTTGGGACGAACTCCGTTCTGTGTGTAGTAATGATTTACGACGGACAGATGGCAGTATTTGCCCGCCAATCCTGTTCACAAGCGCTTGGAAGCAGCCTTCTTATTGTCGAATTGTTCCCTCGTTAAAAATGTAAAAGTCCAGCCTCTGTTTTATTATTAGTTGTCTTAAATAAGCGGTAAAAGTGTGACAATTGTGGCTCCTTTGTTTAATAACATTAACATGAATACATGTAGTCGTATTAGTACTTATAAAACTTATATGCAGATCAAAATGTTTGAAATTTTTTTAGGTGATATTTGAAAGTCTATTCACTGCATTTCGTCTTTATTTCGCAAAGATGTGCTCCAAATTTGTCCTCGACGCGCCCGCTCTCTGATTGGTCAGGGCGTTGATTGGCCTTGCCTCTGGTTGGCTGAAAGTTCCGTGCGTGGGCGGGGACGCTTAGTCCAAAGCAGAACTCTTCTGCCTGCGGCTCAAAGTTTGAGGACGCCAATGCACCCCGGGCGCTTATTTTTTTAAAACGTAATATCCCCTCCCCTTGCCATTCTGACTTATTAACATAGCATTTTATATTTGTAATCTACAACTCGTCGCTCCTCCCGATAGTCGACATACTTCCATGCAAGAGACGCATCAAACAGAGGGGATAAGCCGTTGACGTCATTATTCTTTTTGGTAATTTTTTTTTTTGTGCTGGAGGATTAGCTAATTTAATCATTCAGTGGCTGGTGGACATATTTTTTAAAAAGTAAGTGACATTATACATACAGTTAATGCGCGTGTCACGTGTTAATATTCTGCATGCGTGTAAAAACGTAACTGTCAAACAGGTGGCCCATTTATGAAATCTGATTACAATCTGTATTAAACCATAACATCTGCATGTTTCTCCATAAATTCACGTCGAAGTCCAGCCGTGTTGTTTTTTTAATGGGGAAATGTGAAGAGTAGAAACATTGAAACTACAAAAATAGGATTTTCTTCACATTACTTATTAGTTGGTCTCATTACAAATTGACATGCCAGCATATCATCAAGACGAAATGACACAAGTGTCTTAAAAAAACGACTTTTTATGTCCCACTTTTGCTGATAGACTTTCACCCATGTTGTGTCACTAACATCACTTTGATAGAACGACTTTCCTTTCAAAGCTGTCACATTTACGATATGTTGCATTACTTGTTGCTGTCTAGGTCCTAAATATTAATAAGAGTAAATTGCACAAGACGATGAAAATTGAATTTTTATATGTGATTTATGACCGATGTGGCAGATTGTCCACTAAATACAGTATTCAATGAGCAGAAATAAAACCACTCTCCTTAAAGTGTATCCACGTAATTTTTATAAAGTAGTCAGATAAAAAGCCAAACCACGGGAAAAAGAGACACACTCTTTCCCTGGACAGGTGGACATAATAAATCCCACTATAAATAATAAATGTTATAGTCGTAGGATACCTCAGTTGTGTTTTGACAGGTTTATTTACCTGCCATCCCCTCAAATCCATATGATTTGTTCTAAAACCTTGAGAATTGCCTGGAGATCTGTCCTCTGACCTTCCTCTTCCTTTATTTTCAAACTTCTTTGTCCGCCAAGAAGTTTTGGGACCGAACTGAAATGACAAACAGTTTGAGGGGGAATAAGCAGAAAAGTTGCCATATATGTTCGAAGAATGCAGACATATAGTAAGAGGAAAAATTGCAGTGCAAGAGAACAGTACAATACAATGTGAATAAAATCACAATATTGTGCTATGAAGTCATACCAAAACGAGAAGACTAAAGTTGTTTACTATGAAAAAGAAAATAATAATACGAGGAGCATAACGTTTAGTAACATTACACAGTAAATTTGGAAAACAAGAAAAACAAGTTTTAATGTTTTCAGAACACAAGAAGGAGGACAGATTATCAAACGCACCACCCAGCTCATGATGCAGCCAAATGCGACTGAACTGGTGAAAGACCAGAAAAATTTAGTCAGCAACTCACACCAGCACACCAGGAATTTGACCCCTGTACATACAATCAAATTGGTGCAACGAAAAAAAAACAGCGACTTATGTTGTTTGTTCTTGTCAGGAAACTCTGTATTATTCTTAATTAAACCACAAGCATGTTTGAAACAGAATAAAGGATTGGTTCATTAAAGTGCACGTTTTTAAAATAGTTGCAAATACCTGATAGTTCTCAACAAGTCATGGTTTATTAACAACAAGAATTATTTTTCTTATAGGCTGTAGATCTGTAAAACTTCTGCAATGATGCCAGTGTTGTTCCACCTGCTGCTGCTGGAGTCCATCTTGATGTGCAGCATGGCTAGAGGTCAGTCACGTTCAGAAAAGGTGGAAAGTTTTCCAATACTTTTTCCTCTTATTTCATCACTACTGTAGACGTGACTCTCCGTGTGTGGTCTTCTTAGCTGAATGGTGGGTGGGCCGGGTGTTTGCCGCAAAGATGCTACAGCGGTGGTTCTCAAACCGGAGGTGGCTGGATGCCCTCGGATTGCGCACCATCACCAAGGGGTCTACAAAATAATTAACAATAAATTCTTAGTTATGTCGTATCATTTTGCCAAATTAGCTGGTAAGCTAATGAACCAAACCAACTAGGTAGCTGGCGACCTCAAAATAAACATGAACATGGGCATTATGAACAAGTTTTAATGATTGATTCAGTAAATGGCAGAGAAGAAACACAAACTCTGTAGTAATGTGTGTTTCAATGGTTATGGCTCCAGTAAATGGCCAGCTATGTTGTCAGTCAAACTTATCAACAATAAACTCTGTAGTAATGTGTGTTTCAATGGTTATGGCGCCAGTAAATAAGATACTGCTTCAATAAGTAATAAAACACAGACAATGAGAATTATGTTCATACTGTGCACAAAATCAATAATTTAGCTCGCCAAGAACATAAATTCTCCTGCTGGTAATTTGTGCCTTCAAGGAGCCCGGACTGGCCACGTGTGGAGATTTATGTTGACTGGGCGGATGAAAGTCTGTCGAGGTGATTCAAAGCAAAATAACCCATCTGCAGAATCAATTCCAGATATAAATAACTCGTAATGGATTGTTCAACATTTCATAACACAGCGGTTGAGTAGATCAAACAACACATCATGAAATGATCGATTTCGACTCAGCTCAAAAATAACTCAAATTGGGTCGGTAAAACATACTTCAACAACTCACTTGGCTCGATAAAACATGACAGCATTTTTTTAGTACTACCTACCACCCTACACTCTCAAATACCGACTAACTCCCCCTGTACCTACCTACTAGATATGTGAACAAAATAAATCATTGACATTCAGGGGTACACATGGTCGTTATTATAATACAATGATTTTTGTTTAATTTTGATGAGAGAGAGGGAGAGAAAGAGAGAGAGTAGGAGAGAGGAAGGACGGATAGATGGACAGATAGATATAGATATATTTTTTTATTTAGTCAGCCTGGAAATGTTGTGTAATTAATATGTCTGACTGCATTTTAACTATGTGATGCACTTTGTGAGTCCTCTATTTGAAAAGTGCTTTTTAAATAATATTTGTACTTAGCTACAGTGTTTACTTATATTGAAGTGGCATTAGGATCGAAAAAGTTTCTCCCCTGATTATTGGACCCAAAAAGGTGAGAACCCCTCAGGAAAACAACAAACAAGGGCGCCTCCGTGCAGACGACCCAACACTAACCATCGGGCGGAAGCCACTAAGCTTGTGCCGCTGGTGATTTTTCTCGCCACAACAAAGGGATATTCAGCCAGGCGGCGTTCAGCCAGGCGGCGTGCAGCCACCGGAATAAAAGTAAACACGGGGGTCATGGATGAGTAGAGCAGATTAGGCTGTTTGAGATGTTTGCTGATTATTTCCTCCCCCTTCTCGAAAGACAGGCAGGAAGTGACGCTGGAAGTCAGGAAGGATGAGGGAGAGCGGGAGAACACAAACAAGATGGCCAAAAGACCAGGAAAGCCCCTTTAACACTCAGCCGGATTGTTCTCCAGTTTGTAAGGGAATGAGCCGGCTTCCGATATAGTACTGTACTGGGTTTTTCCTGGCTCAAATTAAGGTGGCACCATATTCTGATCAGAAAAAAAAAAAACACACACACATTTTCTGAGGATTATTTACAGGCTTTTATTGTTCTTTAGCAAATGTCGTTTTCCTAAATCATATAGTATATACCCCGCGACCCATGTGAGGATAAAGCGGATCAGAAAATGGATGGATGGATGGATGGATATCGTATATACAGGAACGATGTGGGCAGACGCGTTATCCACGAGGTTACCCTGTTTCTGTGGGGCAGGCTGCAGAAGATTTATTATCATGTGTTGAGCTGAAAATGGAACTGGAAAGCATACTGTGTACAATAAATCCCCTTCCATAACAGGTTACGTTCCAGAACAACCCGCAAACAATGAAATGTCGGGATGTCCCTTCGCTAAGATTACATTCGGTACAGAATGCGAAAACGCAGAAATGATCAGCAAGGTGAGCAGCGTGCTGTGATGCTGCATTCCAGGCAAATGAGAAGTCGGATTTATCCCACTTTGAAATCTACCAGTTGTGACTGCAACACATTCCAGGCAAATGCAGAAAACAAAGATGGCTGATCATGATAAATCGATTTTAAACACATTTTGACCTTCATTAAACCTGCCTTCATAATTTGCCTTCTTCATATAAATCAAGGAATATCTACTAAGCAATTCAAACATTTCGCCGAATAACTTCATGCAAGGAAATAGCGGCATATCTTCACGCAGTCAATACAAATCTCGTTTACATATGTCGAATAACCACATTTAGTAATCATAAATATAGATAGATAAAAAGGGCAGCACAGTGATCGACTGGTTAGCTCGCACATTCATCTCACAGTGCAAAGGTCCAGAGTTCAATTCCGGGCCCCGGCCTTCCTCTGTGGAGTTTGCATGTCCTCACCGTGCCTGCGTGGGTTTTCTCCAAGTCCTCCGACTTCCTTCCACATTCCAAAAAAATGCATGGCAGGTTAATGAAACATTCTAAATCCGGCGTGTCAAATTAATTTTTGTCTCGGGCCACTTTGGGGTTACGTCTTCCCTCAGATGGCCGTTAAAAGAGTGAAACCGAATAAATGTTGAACCATCTCATCGTATTATTACTTGTAAACAATAAATTGATGGATTTCTACTTTTGAAATCATTCAATCAACTATTTGTTTGTTGTTTGTTCAATTGCTGTTCAAATGAGTGTAAACAGGGTACCAAAGTTATTGCAAAATTTCAACATTATTTATTACAAGTGACAATTTGACATTTCGGTACAGAGCCGGAAAGTCAATAGACATCTTGCTTTGAATGTGAATATTTGTCAGCGATAGCAAAAGGGCTCGGTTTTAAGGAGTCAAAATTGTGTCGCAGACATTTGGACCGCAGCTGGAGAGGTCCGAAGGGCCAACATTTGCTTTTTACATTAGCTCTTAACGAGAGCAACTCTGCCTCCTTTTGAAGTTGGCTGCCGTTTTGCTGCTACACGTTAGTTTCACACACTTCCATACGGACATGCAGCAGAACCTTTGAAGTTGAACTCTACTGACAGTTTTTGGGAGGATTAATATGTCAACTAGTTGAACTAGCATTAGCTGTTGTATGTTTTACACATATCCTTAAAAAAAAATGTCAAGACACTTCTTCTTTTTCACTCCTGTGGACCCCCGCCTAGGAACCCCAATTTGAGAACTTTTGGCTCAAGCTTGCTGGTGAAATCAAGACCTGTCCCAATACTTTTGTCCATAATCAGGGCTCCCACTCATTTCTTGAAATTATTTTCCAGGGCTTTTCCAGGATTCTTCCCGGACTTTTCCAGGACAATTTCATTGGCTACTGTATGAGTCAATTTATCACAACATACAGTCATAAATTCCACCCACAAAATTTGGACAAGTGGTATTTCCTATTTTTTGTAATTGGACCTTATATTTTGTACATTTACCCAGATTGCTTTAGTGTTACTAAATGCCATACCAAATTGGCTCCAAAAAACTAACAAATGGCCCACTCACAACTGCAAATCAAATCTCATCGCTCACCCCAAAATGAGCCGTTGGAAACGACTCGATCGTGAATGTCTCAACACTAATATAAGGTCTCACCTGGATGTTGACATTTAAATGACGATGGAATACAGATGATCGCCTGCTGATAAGTTGGAAAGAGGCCAAAGCCCATGCTTGCACTCAAGGCACTGCCACGTCCAGGTTGACTAGCTCAGGGGCGTAACGCTAGCTTAAAACTAACTGAAAAGTCGAACCTTTGTTCTCCGTGCACATACAGTTTTCATCCAGCCGAATTCCCAATCAAATTTTTATCATTCATATACAGTATTTTGTGTTTGTGCTCTCGGCAATGGGGCAAGTATAAAATACTCAGTGAAATGTGGTCCAGTAAAACTAACTGTTACCTGTCGCTATCTCGAATCCGGCATCATGGGCGCTGCAACTGTACTGAAACCAAAGACGTACAGTATTTCGTCTCAGAGCACACAGCCAAAAGTAATGACTCACCCACTACAGCTCTCTGTCACTCAACAGAGGAGACAGAGAGAGGGTAGAAAAACCTCACACTTGAGATACACCGTTACGGCAACAGTCTTGAAGTCAGCAATTTTAGCACTTTGGAAACAAAGAAATCCTTACTTGGATCTGAAAAGTTGGTCAATCTCGCAACAAAGTCTTCTGGGGACACCAGGCAGCACAACTGTTCTAAGGGATTATGCACTTTGATTGGTGTGTGTGTGTGTGTGTGTGTGTGTGTGTGTGTGTGTGTGTGTGTGTGTGTGTGTGTGTGTGTGTGAGAGATCACAGCACAGGCCTCTCTCTCCCTGCGCTGGACAACACACACTTGAGCAAAAATAGCCTGACAAGTCTAAACTGAGTGTCAGTAATTCTGTGTTGTTAGCGTGTGGTTTTGACATGGCATGTTGCAACGATACCACTGCCACACAATTGTTTTTGCAAACAAAGCCAAACCAATACCCCATTCAGAGTATGCTCCTATATATGTGTATACTATATATGTGTTCGTTAATTGATTGATTAGTCATGAGGTTGTTTGGTTGCACTTATTATTATAAAACGCCCCCACAACATTTTAAATAGAAAAAAATGTGCAAATCTAGGCTGTGTTCGTCTGTAAGCCACAGGTGTCCACGCATTAACATGGAATGTTTATGAAGAAAGATGTTTTTTTGTTCATGTGAAATGGTTAATTGGTTGATCTGATAATTAAATCATTTGTGAGTTGGTGAAATTCTTTACTTGTTTGTTTGGTTAATTAAT